AAATATTGGGATGTGAATTGCTAGATACATGATACAATGCTGACCGAGACTATTTCAATATATATTATTTGCTAAAAAAAATTAGTTTTTTATTATAAATCCAACCAGGCAGGATATAACCCTGACATCACAAAATCCAGAATAAAATGAAAGTTTAAAAATGAATAAGAATAATTAAACCATATTAAGGCAGGACAGTACTGCAAGGCAACTTCTGCTTAGACAACAGCAGAATAGTGTGAAAATAGATATTGAGTTCACATCAGTGACTAAGACATTAAACATCAAGGTAGCTATTTTTTCAAGGGCATCATGATATTTTTCTTCCTTACGGTGTATACCATGGGGTTAAACAGGGTGACAATGGTATAGAAAAGAGGGAAATTTGCCATCTTTGGAAAAGTATAGTTGGATTTTGTCATACATATGAAATGGTTCCAAATATGCAGAATAAAGCCAGAACTATAATGTGAGATGAGCAAATGAAGAAAGCTTTGACTCATGCTGTCACTGATGATGACTTCAAGGGGGAGGGATGGTTTTACTGTATGAGCCAAGAATCACCAGGAAAGGGATCTTAAGAAACAGCACAGCAAGTGTAAAGACCAACATCTATTCAGAAAAGTGTCCCCATAGGCCAACTTGAGTACTGGGGAGATGTCACAGAAGATGTGGTCAATGAGGTTAGAACCACAAAATGACAGAGAGAAGATCTGACATGTCAGTCATATCCTGACCGGAATTCTACTGATCCAAGAGCCAGTCACTCTCAGCTGGATGCAGAGCTTGTGGTTTCTAACTACAGGTTATTGCAGAACATGACAAATGGTCACGTAGCAGTTATAGACCATCACTGTCAAGAGAAAGCATTCTGGGTTTCCAAGCACAAAGATAAAACATATTTTTGTAGTACAGTCAAAGAAAACAATATTTATTTTCAGAGTTCAAAGTTGTATAAGTATGCTAGACAGAGAGCTACAGATACATAATAGATTTCTGGAAGGACAAATTACTGGGAAAAATACATCAGAGTTTGGAAACCCTGGTCAAGTCTACTCATGAGACTAATGATGACATTTTCCATCAGGATGATCATGCGCACAAGAAAAATAACATAAAAAGAAACATTCTGAGGTTGAGAATACAAGAAAATCCCCAAAGACTCAATTTCATCATTGAAGTAGAATTTGCTTCTGGTTGTTTTTTCTTGCCGTTCCATCTGTAAAAATAGTGAAATTAGTCATTTATCCTGTTGGTTTGTTTCCTATTGACAAGAGAAGATTGAGAAGTAAACATATACATTTTCTTATTTCTATTTAAATTCCATTTTATAACCCAACATTAAAGAGCAAACCTGAATCCAATAGTGAAGATATGCTAAATTCTAACCATACCAACCAATTAACACATAAAAGCAGTTTGTATTTTATTGGAATTGAAGCCTTCCAAAAGTGTGCATTTTTATTTTTATTTTATTTTATTTTTTTGTGTGTGTACAGAGCAAAGTGAGTCATTTTACTCCACATATTAACAAACAGATTCCCAGAATAGAATAATTTATATCTGTCACAGTTCTTAGAAGAATGTTCAGCATATAATTTTCAAGTGTATTTTGTGGTAACTCAACTCTTTCAGGTAACCTTTTCCAAATATAGCATGTGCCTCTCCTTAACTAGAGTGTTGCTATAACTCTCCCTCATTCTGCATGGACTTTGCTTTGAAATTGTATTCCTATTTAATTGAACCATTAAGATCAAGGAACATTATCACTAGGTATTTTATTTCAAGAACTTTCATTTGTCATATCCCATCTTGCAGCAGTATTTGATACCTTTCTCTATACCAATTGATTGGCTAATTAATAATGACTTTATGGAATGAATTGCACAGATGCAATGATTTGGGGAATTCTGACAAGTTCTTATAACCTGAAGTGACTCATTATCTGTGAGAATATTTGTTCTCATTAAAAATATTCTCATTTTAATATATGATATGACACATACAGGAAGATAAATTGAACAGAATAAGTTATTATAAAATACAATCATCACACTTGTGCCATAAAGATGAAATAATGAAGTGCTGACTTCAAGTTTTCCATTCTCCTTTTAAGATATAAAGAACTGTAAAAAATAATATAGACAGGCGACTTTGAAATGGAGTCACAGCCCAATCCCACAGAAATTGCCTTGAAAGCTTACTCTTGAAACCTTGGAATGTTTGACTTTTATATACCACATATGAGTGAAATCATATAGTTTTCAACTTTTTCTGTCGTACTTATCTCACTTAGCCTGATTATCTCAAGATCCATCTGTCCATATTGTCACAAATGACAGTATTTCATCTTCTCTTATGACTGAGAGATATCCCACTGTATACACATATGACAACCTCTTTATTCTTTTTTGATTGAGGATTCCTTTATTATCATTCAGGGTCCAATGGCAGCCATTAATTTTTACTATGTCCACTTTTACAATCTTAAATTTGTCCATCTCTGTATCTGTTGTTAAGCCCTCTTAGTTATTTTTAAATAAATGACTCTGTTATATATTCTGATTCCTTTCTGTTCATAAAAACCTGTTGTTCCTTTCAGGGTCAAAGATTATTTGGCTGATTCTCATATTTCTCTGCTGGTTGCTAAATATTCCTTCAGACACTTAGTAATCATAAGCAAGGGTACAAAGCAAGA